ATCTTGGTAATTTTTTAAATTTTTTTATTTTACATTTTTAAAAAAAAAACAGATTTAAAATTTTTCGAAAAAAGAGTTTTTTTTCAAAAGGGTTTTTACCGGGCCCCCCCAAAAAAACGATTCGTGAAAAAACCAAAACGGGGACCTGTTTCCCTTTTTTTTATGCCCCACATTTAAACAGTATTTCCTTTCCAAAAAAATTTAAAACCCAAATTATTATTCCCCTTTTTTTAACATATAAAAACCCCAAGGCCCCTTAGGCCTCCCTCCGTAAAATTTCTTTAATATTTAATTTTTTCTTTTTTTCCCCTTTTCGTTTCACCCTGAAAAAATACCAAATCCCGGTTACAGGCTTTAAAAATAATTTCTTTCCTTACTTTTACGAAAGTAAAATTTTTTTAAAATATAATAATTATAAATTTAAAGGGGTCCCTTATTTAATACCTGAAACTCAAAACAATTTTCCCGGTTTCTAATGTTTTCCCCTTAAGGCCCGACCGGGGTAGAAAGCTTTATAATAACGGTTTTTTATAAAAACACCTTTTAATTAAATAAAAAATAAACATTGGAAAATAAAAAGGGCGGAAAATGACATTTTTTTTCCCCGGGGTTTTTAAGTTAAGAAAAATCAAAAAAACAATAATTTAAAATTTATTAAAAAAATATCCCCCTACCCAAAACGTTCAAGGGTTTATAAAAATTTTCCTCATTTTAAAGGTTATTTAAAAAAGGGCGTCAATAAATTTCATTTTAAACAATTCCTATCTTCTCTTTTGGCAAAAATGTAGTCCCCCCTTTAAAAATGTCCTTATTTTCTTTTAATTTAAACACTTTGCTTGTAATTCCCCTTTTTTTATTTACATAAATATACTCCTGAAAAAAAAAACAATTTAAAAAATATTGGGGACACCTTCTAGAACGAACCCAAATTCAATTTTAAAAAAAGTTGGTAGACCCGGGTTCCTATATTTACCCAAAATGGGCTTTTTCTACAAATCTTTGCCTGGTGAAAGCCTAACTTTAAAAAGGAAACAACCCCAAAAAATTAAAAATTTTGTTAACCCGTGAAACTTAGAGAAAAAAGGGCCCGAAAAAAAAACAAAAACAAAACACATTTCGGTCTATACAATTTATTAAAATTTTCAAAATTAAATGCCTCCTTCCAAAAATTTTTAAACCTGTCCAATCAATGGTTTTTTTCCAATTTAGAGGGGAACCCAAATTGGCCAAAGGGGGTGTTTAGAACGTTGCATGTTCAAAAATCGACCAAGGTCTTTTCCGTACTGGGTTTTGGATCTTCAAATGAATTCGATGTACATGTAAATGGATAGTAAGTGTTTAATTCCTAAAGCAAATCATGTAAATGTGTAGTATTGTACGAACACACAAGAGTGTAAGATAACTTTTTTACAAAGTGCTTACGGTATCTGCCTCTCAACGCAATGGACTGTAGGTTCCAAACCCTAATTGGACTAATTGCCTAGGTTTCTTGATTAGAAAACGCAGTACCTTGATGGCTGAGGTTAAATGTGTCGTTCATAAAAAGCTAAAGACATTCACAATTAATGATTAAGCTTAAGATTTATAAATAGGTACTTTTAATCACCACACCTTATTGTTTTGTTTTCCATTAAATAAATAGTTTTCCGTCTAATTGATTTCATAAAAAGCGCACTGATATGTAGGTTCATTTAAGATAATCTGTCAAAGAAAAAGGAAATAATTAACATACCAAATAGTATATCAGCCCCTTTCCTGCCCCGTTTTTATAATAAACCCCCCCCCCTTATTATTTAAATTTCCCACAAAATTTATTTTTCGGGTAACGAAAAAACATCCAACAAAGGGGGGGGGGACCATAAAAAAAAGTAACGGGCCCAAAAAATGGTTGTTTTCAAAGAAAAGGCCCCACACAACTGGGTTTGGTAAATTTTTTAAAAATTTGCCCTTAAATTTTGTGAAACATTTTTTCCCCAATTTAAAAAGTTTTTTCAATATACATTAATTAATTAAAAAACTTAAAAATGTGTTTTTTATGTTTCAAATTAACAGGAAAATGCCAATCTACACCGAAATTTCGAAATTATATTTACAAATTGGGGGTTGTTGGGAAATCCCCTGAAAATTAAAAGGGAAAACGGGGGAAAAAGAAGGCTTTTTCGGGAGCGACAAAAATAAGTTTCTCCTTTTCCCCAAAATAATTTTGGTACTTTTATTTATTTTAAATTTCTTAATCTTTTTTAAATTTTTTCCCAGGACCCAAAGTAGGAAAGAAATAATACCTTAATTTGTTAAAGGGAAGGGAAGGAAAATCAAATGGAAAATTTTAAAAGGTTCTATACCAAAGTTTAAAAATTTAAAATTAACTTTGTTCTTTGTTTTACGGGAAATTTTTTTGGAGATATTTTGCTTTTTAGGTTTTTTATGTTTTTAAATTTAAATTTTTTTTGTTTTGAATTTTTTTGGGAAAAGGGGAAATTTTTTTTATTTTTTACTGTAAAAGTTTTGTTTTAAGCCGTTTTTGGTTTTTTGACTTTATTTTTTTAAAAAGGGTTTTAAGGTTTGGTTCAAATGTTAGTTTTTTTTAAAAAAATGTTTTATTTGGTAAATGTTTTAAAATTAATTTTTTAGTTTGTTTTATGGGTTTTGTGTTGCTTTTTTTAAAGTTTTTTTGGTTGAATTTTTTTGAATTTAATTTTTTTGCTTTTTTTTAAAGTTTGGTTTTTTGGTTTGCTTTTTTAAATGTTTTTTTTGGGGGTTTGGGCCTGGGGGGGTTTGTTTAGGGGTTTAAAAGCTGGGGGGGGAATTAAGGAAATTGTTTATTTGATAATTTTTTTTAAAAATTTTTTTTTATCCCTTTGGGGTATTAGAATGGGGTTTGTTTTTTTGCTTTTTTGGGAAATTGTTTTTTAATTTAAACCTGGTTATTTTTTTAAAAATTTTAAATTTTGGGGGTTCCGGGAAAATAAAGGTTTGCCCTTTTAAATAAAAAATTTAGTAATTGTTTTTGGAATTTAAACCAAAAGTTGTTATTTGGGGGGGCCCCCCTTTTTTTTTTGGGGGGGTTCCCCTTTTTTGCTGTTTAAAAAATTTTTCCCTTTTTTAAAGCCTTTCTGTTGAAATTGGGGTTTTTATTTGGGGGCAAATTATATTTTTTTGTTTAAAAAGTTTCCTTTGCCAATAATTTGGACTTTTAAAATGTTGATATTATAAAAGTTTTTTTTTCCGGGAAAGGTAAGGGTTTTTGTTTTTCTTTCGGGAAAAAAATTGTTTTTTGGGGGCCCCTGGGGTTTTAATTTTTTTAGTAGTTTTTTGGGGACCCCGGGTTTTGGGGTTTACGGTAAAGGAAAGTGCAATTTTTCCTTGCGAAAACCCGGGGGATTAAAACCCTTTTATCCCAAGAACCAAAATTTTTTTGAAAGGGGTTAAAATTTTTTAACCCCGTCCAGGTTTCTCTTTCTAAAAAAATTTTTAAAAAAAGTTGGGGGTTTTTTTTCAAAAATTTTTATGAGAAAATATTCTTTCGGGTTTTAAATATGAAGCAACATTAAGTAAAATTTTAATAACGACGACTAAAAATAAATTTTTCCCTTTTTGTTTTTCTTTTTAAAAAAAAACTTAAATGGAAAATTTTTTACCATGTGATGGCAGACATTTTCATGTTCCCTTGTTTTTACACGAGTGTTTCGTTGATTTTAAAAATTCATTTCCAATACAAGATAAATAAATTTTTTTTTTCATGCAAATAAATCTTGCAAATTTGTTTGACCCAAATTTCCCACCAATACGTGGTCTTTTTTCAGGTTTCCAAAAACAACAAGCGCTTAATTAACAAAAGAAAGGGACAGTGATAGCCCTCCAAGCGTCCGTTAACTAGATTCCCCTTGCTAAACTTCAAATCATACAAACAAAACGGGTTTTAGGAAAAAGACTTTAATGGGGGTTTCAAACCAAAGGGGAATCGGTTTCATTTGCATCACCGATAATAAAAAATTTTTCGGGTGTCAGGAAAAAAAAAGCGAACCCGCTCTTTTAACGCCTTATTTTTCGAAAATTTTCCAAAAATTTTATCAAATGGATCTTACCCCCCGTTGGGGGGAAAAATTTAATATTTGTGTTTTGTTTGGAAAAGAATATTGAAAAAAATTTTAAAATTTTGATGTCTTTATTTTACATTCCTTTTTAAATATAAAAAGAAATTCTCCTTTGGAAAAATTTTTAAAAGTTTTACTTTTTGCTTTCAAAAAGTTTGGTTTTTCCCCAAAAAAACGGAAGTGATGCCCTTTTTAAAAAATTTTTCGGTTATTTTTTGAAAAACAGGTCCAAAAATTCCAAGTAAAAAGGAAAAAATTTCCCAAAACCCATGATAAAAATTCTTGAATAGGTTTTTTTACCCATTTTCTTAACTATTCAATGTACATTGTTAATTATGTCTTTGTTACATACTGTACATATCTGATATAAGTTTAGTCATTTTCAACTGAAGAAATACAGTCAACTTTCTTTATCTCGACATCGCTTTTCTAGATGGTTTCGTTATCTCGAAATTCGTTATCTCGAAAATGTACACTAATGCGAATAATCGTATTACACACTTGACATTGCTCGAATGCTGGTGTCACGAATATGTATTAACGCTATATTCATATTTCTATTCTTAAAGAAAATATTTCCTTCTGTGTATTTCCTTCAGATTTTTGTACGCATCATTTTACTTTTTTAAGGTATATCACATAAGTGTGCTATTCTTGTGGATTGTATCGCTGAAGTCGACTGCTTAAGGTAGTATTTTGGCTCGTGTAAATAATAATTTGCTAAATCAATGAACGCAACCCATTAGAATAGCATACTGTCGTAATATGCCTTATTTACTCGCCCCTTTCTGTATCTACACAATTAAGTTTTTAATGCCTGCCACTATTTAAACCGTTTCAGTTGTCACAATTCTCTGTTTTTACCCAAAATGCACTGTTCATTTTCTGTTATATATCTTGGAAACATGTACACTATTTAAGTCGACGGTAACTGGGGAGAATGGATGACTTGGATGACGTGCACGGTATCGTGCGGGGTCGGAATCCGGCGGCGGGAGCGGTTCTGTAATAGGCCGAGACCAATGCACGGCGGTGAGAATTGTGAGGGGCCAATGTTGGACGAAGAATCGTGTAATGAGGAACCATGTGCAGGTAACACTGAAATTAACGTATTAGTTATAAAGGTTATTCACATGTTATATAATTATGGCCCAGTATATATGGTTGTAAGCGTTTATGACTGCAAACAATCTATTTTATACAGTCATATAACCTGTCAAAAATCTTAGTAACCAAAATTATCATAGATCTACTTAAGGAAACATGAACACTTTTCTAAAAACTGACAGCATCCGTATACTATATTCCTGGAAGGATAATACACGAAACGAGACTTATTTGACCTGAGTAATATACGAACCAGAGTTGATATAGATCCCAGAATGCTATATTGTCCCGTTTATCTCGTCAGCAATTTGTGATATTGCAAATTCCTTAAATTTACTATTTTAAATAACACCCTCCCTTTCTACCCCTCACAAAAACAACAAACAAACAAAAACATACGGAGTTTGAATTGCGTTAAATTAAGCAATTTTTAGCTCGACTTTTCTATGAAAAGGGGAGCTATCCTACTCGCCCCGGCGTCGGCGTCGGCGTCGGCGTCGGCGTTAGCGTCGGCGTTGGCGTCACACCTTGGTTAAGTTTTTCGTACCACCCCACTTTATTTCAGAAGTATTACAAGTATGGCTTTGAAACTTACCATACTTGTTCACCATCATAACCTCCATCTACAGACAAGAGTACATAACTCTGTCAAGGTTTTTGACAGAATTATGGCCCTTTTTTGACTTAGAAAGTGTATTGAGCTTGGTTAAGTTTTTTGTACCACCTCACTTTATTTCAAAACCATTGGAGGTATTGCTTTGAAACTGACCATACTTGTTTACCATCACGACCTTCATCAACAGACAAGAGGACATAACTCTGTCAAGGTTTTTGACAGAATTATGCCCCTTTTTGACTTAGAAAATACATTGAATATGGGTAAAATCCACTTATTGCCTTAACCTTTGAGATATTGCTTTGAAACTTTTAATGCTATTTCACATCATTACCCCATCTGTACGCAAGAGAAGGTAACTCTGTCAAGGATTTGTTTTAAAAATTAAGGCCTTTTATCGACTTAGAATCTTGGTTAAGTTTTTAGTACCAGTCCACTTTTTGACTGAACTGTTTGAGATATTAATTTGAAAGTTGGAATACTTGTTTACAATCATGATTCCCAAACATGTCCAGGAGAAGGTAATTCTGTCAAAGATTTTATTTGAATTATGGCCCTTAACTGTCAATGTTTTGTATTATAGGCAAGCACTAAAAAACTTAAAAAATCTAAAAAAATTCATTCCTATCCACTTGTTCACTTTACCATAAATTATGTCATATAAACATTGCTGTAATATTCAAGGGTATCAAACAACTAGTTCACTTTAAAAATACAGAGATTCTTGTATTGCCTTTTACTGCAAAAACTTTTTTTATTGGCAAGCAATAAAAAAGTCGAGCGCGCTGTCTTACGGACAGCTCTTGTTGTGTATTTTTATCGTACATCTCAATGGCAATTGTAAGATTTATGAAAAAATCGCACCTGAGTTTTATCTACTGTCAGGTAAAATTTATGCTGTTTATAAAACGTTTTGTGAGCATTAAATCTCATAACTTCAAACAAAAATGAAAGAACTGATCATTTTCATACAGACATTTTTTTTAATGAACCGTATTATTTACTATGAGTTAACTTCACTGAAGTTCACGTGTATATAATTTTACGATATTACATAATCGAAAACATTCTTTCCTAATCATATTTTATGATAAACATACCTTGTAATGCTACATGTTATTGATTTAGATAGGAATTGTGGTTTTATATTAAATGTGTGTTAATACGTACATCTTGATCAATGTTGTTTTTTTTTAACTTCAGACAATAGGCATTTAAGTACTCTATTTTACCTATACGTATTTAAAAAACGTAATGATTCAGCAAAAAAAGAAAAGAAAAAGAAGTAAGCGCAAGTAATTGCCTACCTCTTTATTAGAAAGTATTAGCCCAGGGTTCTATGATATCACGATACTTAACGTTTATTTGAAAATATCTAAATTTAAAAAACGTTGAATTTATATCCCCCGCCGAATACTTGTTATTGATGTAAATTTTTGTTTGTTTTATTGCGTCTGCGTCTTTTGATTTATTTTGTCTGCGTCTTTTGATTTAGTATAATATCTTTAAATAGTTGATGGAAACTGGGGCCTGTGGACACGGTTTGGTATGTGTTCACGAACATGTGGGCGTGGCGATATGACAAGAACTAGAGAATGTAACAGCCCCGCCCCTGCTGGTGGTGGCAGACCTTGTCGAGGGAGGAGCGTTGATACAAGGCGTTGTGAAAGACGGAAATGTGCAAGTAAGAATAAAAGCATTTCATTTTCATTTATATAAAATTAATGTCCATATTTTTGCCTAAATTATAATATGGCTAAGCATGCAGCAACGAAAAGAGATCTGGATTGCAAGAAAAGGCAAACAAAAGAAACGTTTATTATATACATATAAATGAAATATTGTGAAATATAATACAATAATACAATAAAATGCATATTTCCCCCTCCCCCGTATTTTCACTGTAAAAAGTATTTTTCGCTGCAGTGAAACATATTTTTATATTTTCACTACTTTCTGCATGTGCGGTTCAGCCAATACACAAAGTTAAAGGGGATGATTTTGGAGTCATAAGGTCAAAAAAGTAAAAATAAATTTATGAATTCAAGATTTCAGGTTCATGAATTTCCGATATCAAATTCACGATTTCAGCTTTATCAATTTAACTTCATAAATTCATGTTTTGAACTGCACGATTTCAATTTCATGCATCTTCACGAAGTTCAAATCACGAATTTGCGGAAGCTGAAAACGTGAATTCATTAAATCGTGAATTAGTGAATTCTGTATTTTGAAAGAATGCTTGAAGATGAGCGTTTAAATGTAACCATTCGTATTTCGTAAAACGAAAAAGTATATAAAAGAAAATATAACCCTTTTACTATACAGGAAACAATTCATCTCATGTTATAAAATTTATCTTGTTTAATTCATGGCTAACGCCACTCATGAAACATTTATTTTCAAACCACTCAATGAATATAAGCTTTGTATTTATTGAAAAAAAATGAATATCCTCTATATTAATGCAGTACATGGTACCAACAAAGTAAAGGTGGCTTCTAGTCTTAATATTTCTGTAAAAAAACGCAGACCTCATATAATATTCAATCTTAAAATTACGTTGTTTTTTTTTCTTCAAATCTTTGCATTTTGTTACGGACACTGTAATATTCAAACCCACTACTTATTCACACCGCATATCTTTCGGCTCTACCGATAACACAAGAGTTTAATTTGAGATATTTCATATGTAGATACAAGTAAGTATCAATTATAAACTTATGTTTCATTCTAAATTCAAACTTATCATTTGAGCCACGTCACGACAAAACCAACATAAAATGGGTTTGCGACCATCATGGATCCAGACCAGCCTGCGCATCCGCGCAGTCTGATCAGGATCCATGCTGTTCGCTATCAGTTTCTGTACTTGTAATATGGTTTGTAAGCGATCAGCATGGATCCTGATAAGACTGCGCGGATGCGCAGGCTGGTCTGGATCCATGCTGGTCGCAAACCCATTATGTTGGTTTTGTCGTGACGTGGCTCATTATACTTTTTCCAGTTCATGGAGGGTGGTCAATGTGGGAAGGGTGGAGCAGTTGTCCGGTCACATGCGGCTCCGGTGCACGTACTCGAACACGTGCGTGTAATAGACCGATGCCTCGCTTTGGTGGACGTCACTGTGATGGATCAGAATTAGATACAGATATCTGTGATATTGGAACACCATGCCCAGGTAAAAGAAATGCTCAGTATATTAACAATTCCATTTCGTCCTACGGTGTCGATGGTTACAATTAAATGGTGATGATGCAAGCTGTATACACGAAAGTGTAAATATTACATTATAAGTAAGCTTTATCTTCGTATTATATGTTAAGTTTTGTCTTCATATGATAAGTATATCTTTATCTTCGTATTATAAGTTTAGTTTTGTCTTCATAATATAATAAGTTAAGCTTTGTCTTCATATTATAAGTTTAGCTTTGTCTTCATAGTATAAGTTTAGCTTTGTCTTCATATTATAAGTTTAGCTTTGTCTTCATATAATAAATTTAGTTTTGTCTTCATATTATAAGTATATCTTTATCTTCGTATTATAAGTTTAGTTTTGTCTTCATAATATTATAAGTTTAGGTTTGTCTTCATATTATAAGTTTAGCTTTGTCTTCATTTTTTAAGTTTAGCTTTGTCTTCATATAAGTATGATTGTTGTTGTTGTTTTCAGTCGATGGAGGTTGGTCAGAATGGTCAGATTTCGGAAGTTGTCGGGCCGGACCTTGTCAATATGGTCATCGTATAAAAACACGTGTTTGCGATAATCCTAGACCTCAATATAGAGGGCGCATGTGTCGAGGTCGCAGCGTGGAACGTGTTCCGTGCAAGAATGAGGAGGGATGTCCAGGTGAGTTCGGCATCTTGTCATGATGTAACGTGTTCAATGACAAAAAAGGTGTTTATGTAGTAATTGCAATGTATAAATCAGCATTAAGAAAAATTGAGTCAGAAATTATGTTACATCATCATCATCATCATCATCATCATCATCATCATCATTATCATTATTAGCAACAGCAATATCACTGTTTCTGCTGATATTCACTTTAAAGAACATCTTCAAATGTATTAAACCCTATGATAATGTTTCTATATGAATGATGAATATCATCATCATCATCATCATCATCATCATCATAAGTCTCATCATCGTAATCATTTTTTTTCATTATCATAAGTATCGCTATACATATGAACTGTGTATAAACGTAATCATGGATGATATTTCTACTGTATATTTACTTAAAGTTGATGGTGCTTGGTGTGATTTTGGACTATGGTCTCCGTGCAGCGCCACCTGTTTAGGTTATACATCGACACAAACACGCTCACGTGCATGCCATTGTCCGGCGTCTAAAAATGGCGGCAAAACATGCGAAGGTAAACTTTCATTAATAATAATGAAAATAATATAAACACTATTTGTTAAAGAAATGAATAATGTCCATATATAATAAAAATGTACGTAAAATACATTTCTTTGATTCATAATTATAAAGTTTTAAGTGCGATTTTTATTTAATAAGTTGACTATATATAAAGTACTAAAGAATATAGATAAAATTTATGTCTTTACTTTTCCCGTAAGTCAGCAATATTCTTGCATTTGGTCATTTTTATATAACATTTAAAGTATGCAAATACAAAATAATATCAGCCAATGCTATTTCCATGTACTTGCTGACCATGTGATATAAATTATGTCTTTTTATGATGTTATAATGGATCGTTAAAGTGGACATGTCCTCTACGGGCATTTTGTCATATGTATTTCAATAATTTATAAAAACTAACAACAATTGAAATTTAACAATTGGATATTGTAATAAAATATTGCTTGCAGAAAAAAATATGTTGGGAAATTTCGAAATGATATACATGTATTATGAACATTTATTGTATTACAAACCTTCCATTACAGACCAGTCAGTTAACTTTAAATTCAAACTGTGTTAATATTTTTTTATATACATGCATATCGCATGTAATAAAAATATTATTTGAAACAAAACTTGTATGCACCAGACTATCTTTCTACTACCCACGAGACAGTTCTGATGACAAAGGGAAAACAAGTCTTGTTTAAACCTTCCGAGGCCTCTGACTGTAAGTGCAATGCGATGCTTTTACAGAGGCTTCTTAATCGTAAAAATTCACCATTATTAGTGTTGGTCATAATCTAAGGAAGTAATAATAATAATTATAATTTACAGTGGTTGCGTATTTTTGTTGATTGACAGGTGATTACTTTGAAACCAGGGACTGTTCTGGTGTTGTACCATGCCCAGATTCACCAACAGTAGACATTGATGGTTGAAAGTCAGGGTCCAGACCGTTAGACAATTTCAACATACGGCAGACGACAGGGAAATGATTCATTAGTTTGAAGGCGAAAATTAGCAAGGACTGTGCCTTGATTAAGGGCAGACATCCTGATTTAAAATGATTTTTTTGGGGTAGTTGTTATTATTTTACATATTTATTAAAGCAGCACGCTCATGTTAATTTTCATGAAAATTTTGGAAATGTATTTAAAAGTAAAATATTGTGAGATGAACAAATAAAGCAATTTCCATATTGCAATGGGTACTTACAATCCAAGAAATTTACCAAATAGTGGTCAACATATGCAAAAAACAGCCCTTAGTAACGCAGTAGAAATACGGTGATAAAATACTGCAAATCAGTCTTAAACCGCATAATATTATAACATGTAAAAAATCACTTGGATCTTAAATCTAGTAACCTTTCTTAAAAAAGTTAGTACATTTTTCTCAATATTTATTTCCCTGAAATATTTTGGCTCATCAGGCGTGCAGCTTTAATTATACATAACCTTACGACTTTGGTCATATAAACGTACAACATTTTACACTGGGTTATATGTCACCGATTATTCTATGAAATGAACGTTTCAAAAATGCAGTAGTATGTACAAGTCTACAGTAAAATATTGTGACTTGATTGTTAAATTTCCTTAACTGGTTCTGTTACAGTTGATTTAATAGAGAACCCGAGGTCACGTTACTTCTATGCTTACGTCATCACTTTTTTCATGATAGAACAATAATAATGCATAGTTAATCAGCAGCCGAAATAAGTTAGTTTGCAAATTTGCACGATCCGCCCGAAATATAATATTGTACATTTAAAAGTTGGAAAATTATAGTCCAAACTTTAAAGCAAAAAAGCATCCGTTGCACAAAAAAATGATGTGAATTGTTAGTGTCGTCTGCATTTACCCGCCATTTTATGATAAATCTTCGCAATTATTGTTTCTTATTATCATATACGATTTTGTAAATTTTAAAATACAAAATGTATATTTTTATTTTTAACATTAATTTTTGCCTCATTTTAGAGGGAAAAACGTGTAAATTGTAAAATCTTTGTGCATTGTAAATGTTCTTTATAATTTGGCAATGTAGCTTAGGCCAGTATATATGTAGCTGTTTTTTTTTTTCGTTATGTGTTTTGCTTTTTATTATCTTAAAATATCAACGTTTGGTATTTTATTTGTAAAATGTTGGTTTTTTTAACCTTTCTTGAATTTCATGCGTAAAAATGCTGTACTAGTATTTTTCATTTTATTCTATTCTTGTTTTTTCATGTGTACTAAAATAACATTGAATGTATATACCTTTTTAGATGTTTTTTTTTCTCATATGTCTATTCATCGATTTATGATTAATTTTTAATCAATTGCTTTTATTCACATTGTTAAATATCGTACTATTGATAATAAAATACATAGAATATTTCGATTTTTATCTTTTTTATAATGTTTTAATTATCATTCTTAAAACAAATAAAATGTCTAAAATTGTTGTTCAAAATAACAAAGTGTTTTTCTCAGCGTACCATTAATACCCTGATAAAATCTGTTTTGGGATTTTTAAAATGGTGGTCAGCCAACGTCACCCGACAAGCCAGTAAATCAATTAAATAAGTCCAGAATGTAACACATTTTCAAGTGTTTATCTTGCTACAACTAAATAATTTGTAATGAACTAGTCTTGATATAAAAGCTGCCAAAGGTCGTTTAGGACATTCTTTAATCAACAATTGAAATGAGATAAAACTGTTCCAATGCCTTCGTGTCTTAACATTCCTAAAATGATAGTCATTCCTAATATCGCTGTATACTTGTTACTGATATTTATTCGTGTTTTTGCTATGTTTCCGAATAAAAACGTTCACTCTCATGCATGCTTTGTACAATACTCATAGTTTTCTGAGTCGAACGCAATAGAAAAAGAATGATGACACTGTTTTAAGTATTTATTTAACAAACATATATGTATGAGGGCTAATGAATCCTTATCATGCAAATGGGGCAGACTAACTACCATTGTTTAGCTAGATGTGTCCATGATTAAAATTAGGAGATATGAAGACGTGACAATATCGTTCAAAGTGTCTGGGACTAATGTTATTTGTTATTGTTATTGCGAAGTGTTTTCAGTGAAAAATTCGAGGTATGATCACCAAGAACAATTTGAATATCCACACACACGTTTATGGTCAAACGTGGACAGGAAACAAAGAAATCGTTCTAAACATTTTTATAGTAAACTTGTGTTTCAACACTCTTTGTCTATTCTTCCAGTAAAATATTCATATCGTATCACGTGATTCAGAAATCTTAGATAGTTTAAGCAGAATTATTATTGTGACATCCTTTAAAAAAATGCATCTTACGTTTTTAGGTTTTGCCTAATACAAAGAAGAGTCGTCGGTAGGACAGCAACGCTCGACTATTCTTAGTGCTTAATAGTAAAAAAGCCTTGATTAAAAGGTAAAACTTTCTCAGTAAAGAAAAAGGCAAAATGTTTCTTTAAATCCATATTACAGTTATAGGCCTTGGAGAGAGTCTTATTATGCTCTTCAAGAAGAGTATAAGATTTCAACAGGTTTCAAAGCCTTATGTCAATGAACTTTGAAAATATTTGAGGTATTACAAAAACTTAACGTAAATTCTAAGTCGGAAAAAGGGGCATAGTTCTGTCAAAATGCTTGATAGAGTTACCTCCTCCTGTTTAAAGGTTGGGGTTATGATGGTCAACAAGTACATGCAAAGTTTTAAGGCCATATGTCAATGGACTATAAAAATATCTGAGATATAACAAAAACTGTAACGTAAATTCTAAGTAGAAAAGGGGGCATTATTCTGTCAAAATGCTTGATAGAATTACCTCCTCCTGTCTACATGTTGGGGTTATGATGGTGAACAAGTGTGCAAAGTTTCAAAGCTATATGTCAATGGACTTTGAAAATATTTGGGGTATTACAAAAACTTTAACGTAAATTCTTAGTCGAAAAAGGGGCATAATTCTGTCAAAATGATGGTGAACAAGAATGCAAAGTTTCAAAGCCATATGTCAATGGACTTTGAAAATATTTGAGGTATTACTAAAAATTTAATGTAAATTCTTAGTCGAAAAAGGGGCATAATTCTGTCAAAATGCTTGATAGAGTTACCTCCTCCTGTTCACAGGTTGGGGTCATGATGGTGAACAAGTGTGCAAAGTTTCAAAGCCATATGTCAATGGACTTTGAAAATATTTGAACTATTACAAAAACTTTAACATAAGTGGTTACGCCGACGCCGACGCTCGGGTGACTACAATAGCTCTACTTATTCTTATCGAATAGTCGAGCTAAAAATAATACAAATATTTTGCAAATATCATATATACATGTAAGTATTTTCTTCTACTAATACAATGTAGTAGTAAAAATCACAAAGTTACGTTTATGCATACTTATCTAAATTAGATTGCCTTATCAGTGTAAGTGAATGAAATCGTTGATGATTTCGTCTTTATACTCCTATCTTATGAAAGTAAGGCAATGGGACCAAGTAAGACAAAAAGCTTCTTTCTTCTGACACTTATATTACCATTTTCTTATTGCTATGTCGATTCTGTGACCTTGACATTGATTCAAAGGATGGCAGCCCTAGAAACGAGAGGTATGTTGATACGTTTTAGCTTTATTTTATTTGATCTTAGAAGAACATTTGTATCTGTTGTGCTTAATTTGTTAACATACTGAGTGTCAGATTTTAATTAATCCATATGGTTTAATTGAAAGGAGGATTTAAATATCATTATAATCAAGTACAACATCATCAATAGCAACCATAAATTACCAAAATGTTTGTGACATACGTTGTCCACTAAGCAACAATTTTGTTAATGAAATACTGCCTTAAATTTTAACAAATTATTATTAAAGCGACTTACTCCTGGTGAAGTATGCAGTATATACAATTTTCACTTAAGGTTACACGAACAAGCAATTGTGAATGGCAGCAGTGGCTTAAGGGTTAAGGTGTCTGCCTCTCAACCCAGGGATCATGGGTTCGAGCCCTACTCGGGTAACGATCATGATTTCTCATATAGCACTATTACTGGTTAGTTCCAGGAAGCGGACTCAAATGTGCTTAATATAAGTTGCAAGAACTTGTTTAGCAATCGAGCCACAATAAATTTGCTTAAACTAAGAAACTTTGGTAAACAGCTAAAAATTTTACATATCTTTAATAGAGAATTTTATGGCTTACATTTTAGACAAAGAAAAAACCATAGTATTTGAGCGATTGACTAAACAACTTGGGTACCAGGAGGAAAATATGAAAGTCATGAAACTCACTATTGAAAACCTCACGAAAGACGTAGCTAAACTTTCCAGTACTTGGCAAGAAAATGACGAAAGATTTCCAAAACTTCATCATAATCTGAGTAAATTGTCAGAAGAAAGCAATCGACTACAGGTACCAAATAATCATCCAGAAAAAATGTTGTTACAAGCTGACACAGGCATATCTGAAACAATCTTCAATCAGGCAAATGACTTGCATTTTTACCTAAATAAAACACAACCAAAGAATAAGACAATGGAAGCCAAGAAATCTAAATATAGCAAACAAGTGGTCAAGGGCGTATCAATTCCTATCAAGGATAAGAAACATCTAAAAAGTAGTAAGGAACGTTTAGTAGCAAATATAGAGGGTCCAGTAGCATTTCACGCGGTGTCTGATAGGGGAGAGATAAATCATCTTGGAACAGATGAAAACATAAAATTTGAGACAATTTTACTGAACGCTGGCGGAGGATACCACACTCAACATGGGTTATTTATTGCACCAAAAGCTGGAATATATCTATTTTTTACTTCAGTTCTTTCCGCTGGTTCGATGATATACGCCGAAATAGCAAAGAATGGTGCTTCCCTTGCAAAAGCATATGGTCGTGGGCAATCTAAAACTATTGATACACAAGGATCTGTTTCCGTGGCAACACAAATGGACGTTGGAGATGAAGTATGGGTGAAACATACATTCCCAGCGGATGGAAATCTATGGGGTGAACGATTTACAAGTTTTACAGGAGTGTTGATATCGTCATGATATTTAAACAAAATTGGCAGCATTAAGATTGTCTAATTACAATGCTAAACATTTTCAATTGAATTTATTTTTTGACGGCAATGTCAAATTACAGCTGAACTAAAATTGTTAAAAAATTAATATTGTTTTTATATTTTATCCTAGTAAGTTGACTTTTGTGATATTTTATCGTAGATATTAACTTGTATTCTGCTAGGATATACAAGAATTATCTGATGAATAATATGCAATAAATGGCTTATATGTATACTATATAAAATGTGAGTATCAAGTCGACGTCATGTCAAATGATGTGACGATGTCATCGTATTTTACTCAAAAGGCATTAGTTAATTAACGTCAATTAATTTCTTCCGAGTGTCATATATTTTATTGAAGATACGAAAGTTGTCATGGACGTTCCAAGAATTAGTCCGGACATTATTATGAGTAACATTTTTTTTCAGCTTCGGGTCCACAAATTTGGAACCCCATTTATTGGAAAGACATACATACAATCACACAAGTATGCATAGTCCTACAAATATATAAAGAAGATCAGTAAAAAACTTTAAAAAAGGTAACATGTGATATGATACAGTTTCAAAATTTTCACATTACATTTATAATATAATTTTGAATAGCGATCATATAAATATTCGTTAGGAGAACATTGTAATACAGTGGTTTAATTATTATATTATATAATATTTATACACAGATAATTTTGTGAGATAGTTTTTACATTCATTTAAATATTGTTATTTTCTCATCCTTGTCACTATAGTGTCCCCAGCTAGAAAAAACCTAAACGAAAAGTGTATACGAAAAACAGATTAGGTCTTCTCGTGGATTATGGTTTAGAAAAAGTTTTATATGAAAGTATTATGTTATGTAAAGTTCACAAAATTAATTACATGGTAGAAAGAGTTATTAACACCAAGGACAAGGACTATCTTAATTAAAATTAACCACAAATCCATGTCTCATTACGGAATAGTTTATCAACATATTTCTATTATCACAGAATCTTTATATGTATTTATAGAAATGTATAAAGAAAAACCGCATTTCAATGTTTCTAAAAGTCGTGTCTCATAAAGAAGGATAACTGCTATAATTTACCTAACATATGTTACTAAATTTACTTCCCTATATGAGAAGAACAAAATTGCTTAGTTTTTCTTCCTAGTTTAAGGTAATTTTTCAAATATTGCATAAAAAGATTTAAACAAACACCTACTCTATCGTGGACCTGAACTCAACCAGAGCACGACCTGGGGCATAGAAGCTCCAACACGGTCTTTTGGCAACGCGCGCCCCAGGCCGTGCCAGTTGCACTCCCAACCATCGACCCCTAACATGCTAATGAAGATCGGGAGTCAGGAGTACCCCCGACTTCACGATGAGTCAAACATGTATGCGCTCCATCAATCTTAATATCTAAATAATTGTGTATGTTGATGTAAAAACAACATACCTGTAATTGTTTGAAATTAAAACATTTTCTACCACACGATTCTAAAAAAAGCCTAAAGAGAGTAAATATCATCTCTATTGGAAGTGTACGATGTACTGGTGGCCCGAAGCTTTTTTTATGATGTGTCACAAAATATATGTATTACATTATAATGAAAGAAGAATATAAGAAAATATTTAATGAAAATTTTTAAAGTCTGCCAAAATTGACTAACATACCGACATTCATAAAAAAGATGTTAGAGTGTTTCGTTATTTTCCCTACAAAAAAAACACGTATTGTCATCTTTTATTCCAATCTTAGTTAAAAAAGTATTTGTTGCTAGGATTCTATTTATTAATTTGTACTGGAAGTATCTTAAGTTAGTATCTGACGTAATTTTGTGAACAGTTCGTCGTTTGAAAACTGTAATGTTCTATCTCCAATTTTTCCAATAACAAGTTAAATACACAATTTTGTCTGTAATGGACTGTTCTATCTCCTTGGCATGTTCTATTAGGGCTTCAGAGCTTCATAAATAAATTACAACATAACCATCCTGTTCTATCTCCACAAATTTACTATGTCTTGATAAATAGACTGTTCTAACTTACTGGACTAATCATATCATCGATAAATGTCACGTGACCTCCCAGCAAACACCCGACGTTGACACAACGTTGGATCAACGTTGAATTTTGGTCGCGACGTCGGTGACCTTCATACAACGTTAAACCGACGTTGAATCTCCGACGTCTAACAGACGTTTCATTTTGACGTCGACTCGACGTCGGGTTTTGGTCGGTAATCTGACAATAGGTGAATTTAATTTATGAAACCAATATATATATAAATGAAAGCATAAACAGCTAGAATTTTAAATTTAAGTTTAGAAAGGGAAAATTATATATTTATTTATCCATCAAAACAATAACAGTATCACGTGGGTGGCTACGTACGATATTTGATAGGTGGCGCTCGGTAAACGGATAGTCGCAGATCAGTATGAAATATATTTGCTCTATTTTCGTTTAAATAATATCTTATCTCCTCGAATTAGTCTAAGAAGTGTTTATATAATTTACAATGAAATTGTTATCATTTTTGAGGGCTTTATTTTATAGTGGTAAATAATTTAGTAAATTCGAATTGGCGACATAGGCCTATATCGGATTTGAAATTCAGTTGTATTGGCGGACAAAAAAACAACGAGCTGACAGACAAAGTTGAATATTCCAAACAAAATGAAAAGGTAGGCAAACATTATATATTGTTTTTCAATGCTTATTTACCGCATGTTTGCATGGATTCGATGGCTATTTGATCATTGTAATGTTTGACTGGTAAAACCTAATGTCACGTGATTTCACGAGATAAAATTTTTTTTTTCCTCGTAAGAGCACTATATTATTTACTATAGAACAGTCTGTATCATCGGATCATTTTCCCCGCACTATATCGCCAAGCCAAATAAATGCACAAACAATGGTAGGAAATATCCTAGCAATTGAAATCAATAAAAAGTTAAATGCAGTACGTTAGACTCTTATAATTTATTCAAATGCTGGTAAATAAAATTCCCTCTTATTTCTAATCAACATGAATTTCCCTTACATAAGGGGCCAGTCATTTACACATGTATCAGCTGCACAGTTTGATTTTGATATCTGTGTAGTTGTTAAACTACTCGTTGTTAATTGAAGTACTTTACCAATACTGTAAGCATACCATGTGTTTCTTATATAATGATAATGATTCATGGCATTTGATACATGTAAATGATACGACTTTGGTAAGATATATCTGAAAGCACATTGTTTCTGACTAGCTCTCTTTTTAGCTCGACTATTCGAAGAATATGAGAGCTATTGTAGTCGCCCCGGCGTCGGCGTCGGCGTCAGCGTCCGCGTCGGCGTCTGCGTTGGTTAAAGTTTTTTGTAAAGTCAAATATCTCAATTATTACTTGAGATATTCAATTGAAACTTACAATACTTATTTATAGTAACAAGGTACATCAGATTGACAAGTTGGATAACTCTGCCTACAATATTGACAGAATTATGCCCCTTTTAAACTTAGAAATTTTGGTTAAAGTTTTTTGTAAAGTCAAATATCTCAATTATTGCTTGAGATATTCAATTGAGACTTACAATACTTATTTATAGTAACAAGGTACATCAGATTGACAAGTTGGATAACTCTGCCTACAATATTGACAGAATTATGCCCCTTTTTAACTTAGAAATTTTGGTTAAAGTTTTTTTATAAAGTCAAATATCTCAATTATTGCTTGAGATATTCAATTGAAACTTACAATACTTTATTTATAGTAACAAGGTACATCAGATTGACAAGTTGGATAACTCTGCCTACAATATTGACAGAATTATGCCCCTTTTTAACTTAGAAATTTTGGTTAAAGTTTTTTGTAAAGTCAAATATCTCAATTATTGCTTGAGATATTCAATTGAAACTTACAATACTTATTTATAGTAACAAGGTACATCAGATTGACAAGTTGGATAACTCTGCCTACAATATTGACAGAATTATGCCCCTTTGGAACTTAGAAATTTTGGTTAAAGTTTTATTTATAAAGTCAAATATCTCAATTATTGCTTGAGATATTCAATTGAAATTTAAAATACTTTTTTATAGTAACAATGTACATCAGTTTGCAAAATTGCATAACTCTGTCTGCAAAATTTGCAGAATTATTTGCCCCTTTGAAAGTTAGAAATTTTGGTTAAAGGTTAAAGGTCTTCAAAGATATTTACTTGAAACTTTACACATGCACTTAGGGTCATAATTGTATGTCACTGACCAAGTTCCATAACTCTATCTTGCATTAAGGCTGATTCATATTCCCTTTTCTACTTAGTCTCTTGGTTAATGTTAACATGCAAGTTTTACATATCTCAATAACAATTAAAGATATTTATTTAAAACTTCACATATGCATTTAGGGTCATAATTGTAGGTCACTGACAAAGATCCATAATTCTATCTTGCATTTAGGCTGATTTTTCTCCCCTTTTTCAACTTAGAAATTCATGGTAAAGTTTTGCTTGTAAGCAGTGAGTGTTATCTCAATAACTACTGAAGGGTTTGTGCCTTTTTGGGACAATTTTATGCATTCATAATAATAAAGCAGTGATTTACTTGATAAAACATCTTAATAACAAGCCTTTGTACCTTTTCTGTCAAATTTATGTATTCATAGGTTATTAGTATTATTATACTCAATAAAACACCCTTGTGACATTACCTTCCGAATAGTCAAGCCAATACTGTATAATTGGCCTATAACATGAATTTATAAAAAAAAATTGGCCCTTTAGTGAACTTAAAAAATTTAACATTATGAAGGCTCTTTTACTATCAAGCACTTAGAATAGTCGAGCATGCTGTCCTACTGACAGCTCTTGTTATTAATGTAATCAAACAACATATTATAAATCAGAAAACACATTATCATAGTTATAAATCAATAAAAGTAATAGTTTGTTAATTAGCCTGCTTATCAACAAGTTATATGTTCGTATCATAAAACGTTTGTACACTAAGCCAGTCTGTCCTATATACACCTAGCAGATCGGATCATGCTGGGCAGAGATGATATCTATAAAAATGACAGTAACATGTGAATTTCTTTGATGTTGTTTGAAAATTTGTATAAATTACATTGAATATAAAAAATAACAATATCAATTTTTTGCGGGAGTAGAATTAATTTGGTATTTGTTATGTAAGTTTTTCATGCCCTTATGAGTTAACTAAGATTAATAGTATTTGGATTTTGCCTATTGTATTAGACAAACATCCTTCCACCACATGGTTAAATTCTAAAATGATTATATTTCGTCTTTCAGATTGTGGAAATTATGATAATTCAACATCTGGCAAAAGTTCAGGAGGAAGATGAAAGTATTAAGAGGAAAAGAAAAACGAAAACTTACCAAGATTTTGTGACAGGTATATTTCAAAATATTATAGAAAATACAGTGATCTTATTACCCTTGATTTTATATAATGAAATTCACGAAGCCATTTTTATCAAAATCAATAGATATATAGGTACACTTAACTACATATGGTTTGAACTAGATAGAAAATAATAAATATCTTTTTTAAGTAGTTGGAGAGTTTATCAGAATTTCGTTTAATTGTAATATGTAAAAGTGATTTATTTCTTGCACTTGTAATTGATTATTTTATTTTTTTTATTTTCAGAAAGTGTGATGAGATTTAGGTTGGAGACGGTAATGATACGCTTACAGTATGCCCCAGATCGACACAGTGGAGGACGACGAAAGAAGATACATAAACATTGCTATTTATAATAATAACAAAATATTCAGAATATTGTTCCATTTTACATTCAGATCTAGATTCAGTTATAAAATACAAAGACAAATATACAATCAGTGAACTGGATAGATGATTGGAAAATCCCAAAATCAGGGTGATCAGTTCATGATCAGTGGTGAAATAAAAAAAAACACATGCATGGATGTTTACTATACAAAATGTCAGTGGTAATATTCAAGAAGGATTGTGTGTATCTAATTTCTAAAACATGCTTATTTAATACATAAAGCGTTATTAAAGTACTTACGAGAAGATATTATAGATATTAAGATATTATAAAGATTTTTTGCTATTTAGGAGAAGAATTTAATACTATTCAAATATATTGTGATTTTTTAAAAACAAATCTCATTTTGTTCATTATATGTATCGCCATAGCAACCCTATACCATACGAACGCCGCAGCTAAAAAAAAAGTTATATTTACCATTTTGAAATACTTAAAAATTGTCCTTATTTTGGCGTGCTTCTTTAAAATATGAAAATGACGGCAACGTTCTTTCATATCGTTTATAGAACATTTAAAAAAACAAGCGTCGCTACTATTTTTTTTGTTTGTTGGAGATGTTAATGGAGACAGGGGTGTGTCACCAGAGAGGAGCACGACGTTGTTGGAGCAGAGGGCAGTAATTAAGTTCTGTGTTAATCTTGGTATGACGCCAAAGCAAACTAAAGAAAATATGGAAATTGTATCTGGAACAAAAAAAGTGTCTTATTCGTTAGTTTATAAGTGACACATACACTTCTGTGAGGGTAGAGAAGAACTTTAAGATGATAAGAGATGCGGCAGACCAATTAAAACTTGTTGCGATGCGAACGTTATGCGAGTGAAATTGAAGGCAGAGTTAAAGGGACACAAGTTAACCGGGTTCCATGATTTGCAGTCCATAGCATTGTCTGTGTTGCGTTTATTTGATACTTCATTGTATAAGAACATTTTCAGTCGGTGGGTACACAGGTATGAACGATGTGTAAAAGTTGGTGCTGCATTGTATTTGAGAAGATGTAACGCCGACGTCACGACGTAGCGTAAGTTGCAAATGAGCTGCGGCGATCAGCTTTACATGTATTTCTGAAAACTGTCATTTCGGATAAAATATATGGATTATTTATCTGAAACTTACACATCAAATTGATAAATAATTGAATAAATGTCAAATATAATTATATTAACTTTCCTTCCCCAAAAAAACAATTTATGGAGTGTGTCCACGAATTTATTGATCAACCCTCGTACTTTCAAGTTTAATAGTTTCAAAAAATATTATGTAAATCTTGCATTTGTTATCGTACCACATTTCTTGTTTGGAACTTGTGATTCCGAGTATGCAAATAAATTGCTAAATTTAAAAGAATGCTTATTTGTTTACCCTATTATTAAAAAAATCGTATTCCAAAAGTTTTGAATGAGGTTAAAGTCTAAATCATGGTCAGAAAATTTGGTCAGATAAGGTTGGATTATGGTCAGATAATGGTCAGAAAAGGTTGGATTATGGTCAGAAAAGGTCGGATTATGTCCAAATAATGGTCAGGAAAGGTTGGATTATGGTCAGATAATGGTCAGAAAAAGTTGGATTATGGTCAGAAAAGGTTGGATAAAGGTCATTATATGACGTTGTATAGACGTCGGTTTTCTGACGTCTAAAAAACTTTCAAATCCAACCTTCTGCCAACGTTTACCCAACGTCAGGGTCTAACGTCAGTACAATGTTGGTACAACGTCTTTTGTTTGCTGGGCTGTGGGATATATGCAACATACTGTTCTAAATCCAAAAGTATCGTATCAAAACATAGCATCAAATCACGTGATAGCAGGACACCCGCCATGTTGTACGAAACATTTTGAGTTAGATGGTTTGTTGTTTATTTAATATATTAATACTAAATATAAGTATTGAATGATATTATGTATTCATTTATTCCCTCCAATCATTGACATTTTAGTATTAAGTCCTGTAAATTTACTGCATGTGATTAAACAACAAGCAAAACTGATCATGATTTGAAAGTAATTTCGGATGTGTATTTTCGGATAGAAACAACTGTGATCATACAATTTCATCAAACAAATTCGTAAAAAAGAAAATTTGTTATATGTTCTAAAGTTTCTTTAACGTAAGGTACATTCTGTCTCAGAAACCAATTATTTATCTTTATAACAGACACATATGAGTTTAAAAAATTGACTGTACTCATTGCCAATATGAAACAAAAGCATAAGATGGTTTAGGTTACTGACCAATGTGGAATATTTTGGAAACTATAACAGAACTCCAAATATCAGGCTTTTGAGAGATTAAGATAAAAGCATTTCTGGGGCAAAAAAGGCCTTTAAGAAAATTTATAGATATTATACGTTTACATATAATATATGTTTTCGAATGCGTTAATGTTATATAACTAATAGATTGCTTTAAAGTAAACACATTTTATACCAAAGACAGAAGGAAGAAAAATATTCTTATACGTATATTTTGTTTGTCTTGTAATTTGACTTTGAATTTCTAAATGAATATTTATATAGCATTATGTTTGTAATGTTTTTGTACACGAACAATCTTTAAATATGACATTTTTCAAATATAAGTCATGCCTGCTCCACCTTTAAGGTCTTTTCTAGCAGATATGTTTTCATTGCCTATTTAAGTTATAGAAACATTTTTTTTACATACCTTCAATTATAAGAACTTCTTACCAACACACAGAACGTGTAAAGCGCATAACAAAATAATTACTACTATTTCATACTTTTGGAAGGAATTTGAATTTGACCATCTTTTGAATTTTCATAAAAAAAATCTTGAAAGATTTTCCCAGCATTCTAGAAAATTTGAAAGTTTTCTTTTCCCGTTTGCGGCTATAACTTTCTTTTTCCAGACATTGAATCACTTTGAATGTGGCCAAAGTTATAAAAATAGATAAAATGTCTACAAAATTTATGTGGGTATTTTATCTTTATTTATTTAAATTATTTGTTTAAATGTCATTTAATAATGTAATGGATTTAAGGATTTTAATAAGATTTCGAATGTCATAGTTCATGTAGTTAGATACATATGGTCTAAGAAATAGTGTAGTGTCAAAGTCAACTAATCAAGGGATAATTAGCCGAGAGCATTTTGGCAGCCTTTTAAAGATAAAACATATTGTTTTATATGATATAAATCAATTCAACTTAAAAGACATAATGTTCTAAGTCACATTGAACACTCTGATTTTAACATTTTTTGAAAAAAAGTTACAAGGACTGTTCTATCTCCAAATGTTTTTTTAGGTTTTTAAGCAAGGAAATATTAAAATCCACATATCTTTAACGATACTGAGTTGTTTTCCTGACACCACGTTTATTTGTTTTTAAATTTTCAAAATCCGACAATAAATAAAAAAGTTATGCAATACTAAATCTTTACATGCTTTTTTCTCAAAAACAACAAATTGGCACTTAGAACAAAACGTTTTTCAAGCGACGAGTTGTGTATACTTTTTTCCATTCGAAAGTTTCGGGTTATAATAGTTCATGTTTCCATTTATCTTGAGATGTTGGGTGTTTTTATTGTCAACTAAAATTTCATAAATAGGATGACGGCCTTTTATGTTTTGTGTGATTACTTGAATTTGTTTGGGAATGATTGGTTTCAACGTATTAAACTGTTCAGTATATATTTCAAGTTTAACTCTAAAATGTGTTAAGGGTCTTAAAAGTCCCTTATATTGCAGGAAATGTATGTTTAATTGTAGAATATTTTGTATAGTTTGTAAACTATGAAATTGACCATCATTATCTGTCAAATCAGCAACAAATGTAATACCTTTTTGAAACATATTATTATAAAAAATCGATGAGCCTCCGACCTTCAGTTGGATTAAACCAGATTGGTTGCTAATGATATTCCCCCCGTTGGCCTACAGGTTAAGGCGTCCACCTTCGGATCAGGAGCTAGGTCGAAGGTTCGAGCCCCACGGGGAGCGTTAATTGAAGGATGAATGTTTCTCGTGGGACTCGTTCCGAAATGGCCGCTTCGTTGAAATGCATGGTTACCGATTTCTATCCGCCGGGCGCCTGGCATAGCGGTAGGAGTTGGGAGGTACTTGGTATACAACAAAAGGTGTCTCATAAGTCAGAAATGGCTGGCCCTTTAAGAAGGGATGACACCATTATTAACAAGACCTTTACCTTTTATACCTTTTATTTGAACATTCGGATAAAATATATCCATGTTAAGAAAATATCTTTCCAAAACGGGTTATCGATTCTATGTAACTGATTTTTTACAAAGTCAGGACCCAATTTTGAAAGATTATATATATCTTGAAAAGAATGTTCGATGATGTTTTTCTATTTTTTGTTTTCATCGAACATACGTCTGATCCAACTTTAAAGATTGAATGAAGGATTTTAGTTTAATCATGTTTAAGCCACCTTCTGAAATCGGTTTAATAAAAACTTCTCGTTTAATCTTGTCTCTTGAGTAATTCCAAAGAAAATTAAAATATAGAGATTCTAGTTCTTTGATTATTTTGGAAGAGAAATAAGTAGATGATTGATTTTTGATAAAGTCAATGTTTTAATAACAGGTATTTTCCCATTCTTTTCGACCATTGCTGTAAAAACGATTTTATATCTGCTAATTTCTCATTATAGTTAAGATTGATTATCTCATTCAGATTGAGCGAGTATTTAATTCCAAGAACATTGAAATTTTCATTTTCCCATGAAATATTTTCTCCTGTTTGAAATTTAATATCGCTACCCTTCATGCTTCCAAACCAAATAACCTTAGTTTTATCTATATTGATGCGAAAGCCGGAGGCATTGGCATAGAATTTCAATACCAAAGGCGCATTTTTCAAAGATTTTTTCTACCATCCAAAGTCTTGTCGTCTGCATATTGTGAGACAAGGTGTTCTTTATCGCCTATTTTGATACCAGTAATATTTTCATTTTTACGTATTATGAGGGCCAATATTTCTGCACAGAGTATGAACAATAATAAGTCTGGTATTTCATTTTTTTCTGTGTAATGAAAAATATCATATAAACTTATTGTGTTTTTTCCTTCAGCTGTTAATCCATCTGAACCGGGTTTTTTTTTTTTAGATTTTTTTCATATTTGAAAGAGCGAGAGATTCTTCTTCTTTTGAAATTTTACCGTCCATCAAATTCGTTTGATTAACAGAAAGTTTGGGAATACCATTGATGTTCAAATGTTCATGAAGGTTAATATCTATGACATTTCTTTCAGAATAAAGATCTTTGTAAAAATTCCGAACTTCTTTTATAATTTCTTCTTCGGTTTTTGTTGTTTCCCCATTAGGTTTTTACTAAATTTGGCATACGTACATTTGCTAAATTAAATATAATTTCGTTTTTCGAGAGAACAAAAATATTGTGTTGGTTGTTCTCCTTTGTCAACCCAAATTGCCTTTGACCTTATTTTAAAACCCTCTTGTTTCCTCTCTCTTGTTTTATTCAGCTCCGTTGTTTTAGTTTAAATTTATTCCTTGTTAATTTGTTCGTTTCTCTGTAATTTGTTAAGGTTTTCAACACTTTCTTTTTCTCTTTTATTGGATTGCTTTTTAAAAATCTGGAGCATGAAATAGATTTAACGCGTATTTCCATGAGTAATGTTTCGAAAAATAGTTGATCGTTTATTTTAAATTTTATGTCAGTATCAGGAATAATCTCTAAGTTTTGATTTTCTTCCGAATAATTTTGTTTTGTATCTTTTCTTACTTTTTTAATTTAAACGATGTGTTTAATGTCTTTCAATAAAAAATTATTAAATTTCCCGAAGAGTTTATTTCGTTTGATGGTATTACTTTTTAGTATAAGGCAAACAATAGAATGGTCACTTCTTTATCCAAAATCTATCCTAGACTCAGTTGTAGTAGTTTATTTTTGTTTTTAAATTCAACTGAGCTGCAAGAAAAACTGCTAAAATAATGACGTTGGCAGAAACGGGAGAATGAGGCGAAGATATTCTAAATGATATGTCCATCCTTACCAAAGTGTTGAAAATCGTTCAAAGTGTGTAAATGACATGAAAGATTGAGAGGAAGCTCATAGAATACTATAAAAAATGTGGATCAGCCTTGAGGTAAAGAATATGCTACGCGGCCATCACCTTGACTTTAAAATTGACACAGAACGCTGTCATTGACTATAATTATATTTTCTATATTTACATGTTCAACAAATGAATTCAGAGATAGCGTAAATGTGTTGCAATAAGTGTCGACTTCTTTTTTTAAGGTAATCCTTCACTGAACTTCGAGTGCGTTTAGAATTGACTGACGTCCTTGAACATTGCTAAAACTGTTAGTGTGTTTCGGAAGATTTTGGTGGCACGTTTGTTTTGTTTTTTGTTAAAATTCTATATTTTTTATCGTATTTGTTTAATACATTCATTATTCAAGAGCCATAAGATACTTAGAATAACAATGTTTAAGAACAATTCCGCGTACTTTAAGGACAGTCCTCGTGTATTGCCAAGTGATTTGAATATCTAAAAATGATTCGGATCTTGCCAGAGCATGCGGTAAAGAAAAACCACGATACGATATTTATGTTTAAAATGAAACTCTTGTCCGGATTGGAACATCAATGGCTTCTGTCTAAAATAACGTGATTTTCGTTTTATCAAAGGAGTTTTAATATAAACAAACCTGTGATATGGGGCTTTTTGTACCATGATTTAAATGAAAACAATATCTTTAGCTATATTGTATTCTTATTACATAGTTCTTAGTTTTAATTTTGAAAGCATTTCTAAAATAACACCGGAAATAGAATTAACTTCCGCAGCTTACTTAACAAGGTAAACTACATGCTATAATGTACGTACTAAACAGTGCACCACCGTATGATAGATAGTGCAACTGAAGGTCAGAGAAATTAACGGATGCCAGTAATAAAAATCTTAATTATGGCCTGATATGTAAACCCTCTCTAATTATGCTGCCAATTTGCCAAATCCAGAAAAGTGTTGTATGTTATAGTCTGCAGTCAGCATTTTCTGTATAATTATTCTTTAAACAATAATATATTAATAATATATTAATATATTTAAGCAATAACATAATTATATTACACGACTCCTCAAATGATACCACAAGCTAGTTTAATTAACAATCATTAATTACAAACGAACGTGTGATACTTTACGCTTGCAAAATACATTGAAATCAGCTCCTTTATTTTCTTATTGAAATTAAAAAGAATATATATAACGAAGAATTTGAAAATGTGATATATACATGAAGATAATTATTTATTTGTTTATTTAATTGTTTTTATTATATTATTATTTCTTTCTTTTAAATTTGCTTTTCTTGACATGTTACAAAATGTCGTAGGCGTAATATTCACGACGTAAGTTCATACTTATCCAAATTAAGATTGTCTTATCAGACATAGAATTAAAACTTGTACATTTAAACTTGATAAGTGTTCTTTTCCACTTCAATACAAGCAAGAAAATGGCACCGAATAACGCCGTAAACTCCTTTCTGCTGATGCTTTTGCTGTTACCATTTTCCTTTTGTTATGTCGGCTCCGGAACAATGACTTTGATTCAAAGGATGGAAACTCTCGAAAAAAGAGGTAAATTTGTACAGTTTTACTTATAGTTCTTATATTATCTTTTTCATTTTTTATTAAGTCTGTTGATAACATATGGAGAATTAGATACCATTCAAAGCCATATTTGCTAAATTGAATGTGGATATTATTATGATTTAGTGCTCCTCAGTACATGTTGCAATTTTTCCGCCTATGTGACAGAAATTTGCCGCTAAGCTACTGTTATGTCAATGTAATACCTCCTTAATTTTGTATATATCATTATTGATTGAATTTGTACATAAAAAAGATAAACAACAGTTTTAAGTCTTGATACGGTAATTTGCTGTATGAATACACCTACACAATTTACCTTTACTCTGGAGAACTTCATGACTTATATTTCAGACAAAGAAAAATCCATAGTAATTGATCGTTTGACGAAACAACTTGCTGACCAGGAGAGAAAGATACAAGTCATGGATCAAACTATTGAAAACATCATGAAAGACGCGGCAAAATTTTCTTATACACAACAAGAAAAGTACAAAAGATACACCAAGCTTCAACATGACCTAAGTAAGTTGTCAGAGGAAAGCAGAAATCTACTACAATTTACAAGTAATGATAACGACAAAATGCTGTTACAAGTTAATCCCACAGTATCTGATAAAAGCCGGAAACCATCCAATAACTCAAGTTTTTATGAAAATGAAACACAAACGAAAAAAGAGGCATTTAAATTCAAGAAATCTAGTGAACAAATGGTTAAAAACATGCCTATATCTATCGAAAGAACACGTAGTAATGGGGATGGGAATATACGAAATCGAAAAGAACAATTAAAACGGAGTAAGAAACGTTTTGTAGCTAACATAGAGGGTCCAGTGGCATTCCATGCAGTGTCTGATAAGCGCAAAATTACACATCTTGGAACAAATGAAAATATTAAATTTGAGACAATTCTTCTTAACACAGGTGGAGGCTACCACAGTCAACATGGTTTATTTATTGCACCAAAAGCCGGAATATATCTTTTTTCCACTTCAGTGTTGACGTCTGGAACAGAGCTCTATGCTCAGATAACGAAAAATGGTCTCCCTCTGGCGAAAGCCTTTGGTCTAGGAAATTCGGTAATGGATGCACAAGGTTCTGTTACTGTGACAGCTCAAATGAATCTTGGAGACGAAGTTTGGGTTAAACATATATATCCTGCAGATGGAAGTTTATGGGGTGAACGATTGACAAGTTTTACAGGGGTTTTGATATCAAACAATTAGACATTAATTTTGTCAAATTATCAAAAATAGTATATCAACACTGAAAACATTAAAGAAATAAATAACCTTAAAGCTTAAAGGCCTAGACAATGATTTTTCCAATCAAATTAAGTGACATCCCAATATTTCAAATACTTATGTTACTTATTGATTTCCGAAAGAGTAATACATTGTACATGTATATAAACAATCGTTCCTACAATAATGCTGTTGCACTCGTTCAGAAATACAGTTTACTTGAATGATAATGTTGCAATAATTACAACATCAAATGTAAGGTACAGTTATCAAAATAGCAATACAATTTTCCAAAATAATGGCGCATTCTACAATTGTTCAAAATAATGGTACAGTACAAGCTACAATTTTCAAAAAAAAATGGTGCCAGCTACAATCTTCCGGAACACCCCTGCACGCTACAATTGTCCATAAAAACAACAATCTTCCAGAACACCCCTGCAATCTAAAATTGTCAAAAATAATGGTGCAAGTTATAATCTTTCAAAATAATGGCGCAATCTACAATCTTTAAAAAAAATGGAACAAGCTACAATCTTTGTAAATAATGGTGCACGCTTCAATCTTCCGGAATACTCAGAGATCACGCTACAAATTTTCCAGAATAATGGTGCAAGCTATAATCCTCCAAAATAATGCAAGTTATAATCTTCAAAAATAATGGTCCATGCTACAATATTTCCAAATTATGGAACAAGCTACAATCTTTCCAGATACAATCTTCCGGAATACTCAGGGATCACGCTGCAATCCCCCAAACTAATGGTGCAAGTTATAATCTTCCAAAATAATGGTGCTAGCAACAATCTTTCAAAATAATGGTACACACTACAATCTTTCAAAATAAGGTTGCAAGCTACAAACTTCTTGAATACTAAAGGATTACCCTACAATTTTCAAGCATACTAATAAAAACTTAAATTTTTTTGAATACTGGTTCACGCTACAATTTGCCGGAATACTGGTGGAAGCGACACTCTTCCCAACTACTGTTGAAAGCTACTATCTTCAGAAATACTTGTGCAAGCTTCAATTTTCCAAAATCCTGGTGCACGCTACACTCTTCCGGAATACTGGTGCACGCTACACTTTTCCGGAATACTGGTGCACGCTACACTCTTACGGAATACTGTGGCACGCTACACTCTTCGGAATACTGGTGCACGCTACACTATTCCGAAATACTGGTGAAAGCAACACTCTTACGGAATACTGGTGAAAGCAACACTATTCCGGAATACTGGTGCACGCTACGATTTTCCGAAATACTGGTAAAAGGTACAATCTCTTGTCCATTTAAACAAAACATGTTTTCTAGTAAGATTACGATTTTCCGGAATACTGGTAAAAGGTACAATCTTACGGAATACTGGTGCACGCTACAATCTTACGGAATACTGGTGCATGCTACAATCTACCGGAATACTGGTGAAAGCAACACTCTTACGGAATACTGGTGCACGCTACTATTTTCCGGAATAATGGTTCACGCTACAATCATCCGGAATACTGGTACACGCTGCAATCTTACGGACTACTGGTGTACGCTACAATCTTACGGAATACTGATGCACGCTCCAATCTGACGGAATACTGGTGAAAGCAACATTCCTTCGGAATACTGGTGCACGCTGCAATTTTCCGGAATACTGGTGCACGCTACAATCTTCCTGAATACTGGTGAAAGCAACACTCCTTCGGAATACTGGTGCACGCTACAATTTCCGGAATACTGTTGACGCTACAATCTCCCGGAATACTGTTGACGCTACAATCTCCCGGAATACTGTTGCACGCGACAATCTTCTGGAATACTGGTAAAAGGAACACTCTTACGGAATACTGGTGCCCACTACTATCTTTCGGAATTCAGGTGTTAACTCCAGTCATCGGAAAAATAGGTGCAATATGCAGTCTTCCGGTATATCAGTGTAACCTATAATCTACAGGTATACTGACGACAATTCATACAAGTTTGCTTCTTTAAAAAGAAGCATGCGAGATGTCTATTTACAGCTGTTGAAGAGATTATTTAATTGTTCAAATAGCGGGAAAGTAAGAACTTCTGATTAGTCGAATGGCATCTGCAAACAAAAGCAAAATATCGGCTATTTCCGTCAGTCTCTCAGATTAGGAAAAATCAGCGAGGTGTTCCGAAGTTAAAGAAGCAGCCAATTTCCATATACGGTTCATAAGGTCATAAAATAGTGCTTGTGATATTGTTACGAAATTACTCTGTTTTAACAGAAATCTGCCTTAACACATTTTCACTGAAAATGTCTATCATTTAAAACTATATGCTTGTAAAGATTCAGTCCAAGTAAAAGCATGATTACAAAATCAATTAAAATAAAATTATGCATCATAATTGTATACTAGCAATAGTCTAAAAGCAAAGTAAACACTTAAACTACAACAACACAACTCAACAACAACCACTCTTCAACTCCAATAAACTCAATGAACCCCAACAAAAAGCGCATACAGCTGCAAAAGTGGATTGGTGCGTGACCCACTTGCGGAAACCAGTCTGCAGGACTCCTTGCACTACCTGAATGCTGCGCTTAACAATGTTCAATTGAGAATGCGCTCATTATACCTTACCAGATACCTTACCAAATTATTCTTGCATATCAGACTGGCGTTTCCGTGAGTTTTACCCATGCCGGAAATTTCATCTGGCATGGGGGTTCCAGATGAGTCGCGTGCTGTACAATGGCACGATTAGGATGACGTCATTTTACCGTTATGAATGAAGTTGTAATTCATACGCCGTTGTAAGAAAGTAGTTATGGTTGTAATGATATTAATTTTCATTGAAAATAAAGATAAAGAATTTAAAGTATAATGGAATATGGTAGAATATGCAAGAAAAAATATCTGACATATGTTTGCGGTCCGGATCGGAATATCCGTCCCTCGGTCACCCGCCCATGGGCGGTAACTCGACAAGCCTCGTTACAGCCCAATGGGCGGGTCACCTCAGGACGGATATTCTGATCCGAACCGCAAAATATGACAGATATTATTATTCCTACGCACAGGTCATGTTATATTCAGATTAAGTACTATTGTAGATTTTTTCCGAATGTTTTGTAAACCATTTTTTGCATAATTATACTTATCTTATGCACTTTCCATAATTAAAAAGAGGGGCCAGATATTTAATTTAAAATAGTGCTTTCACTGATGCCTACCTGGTAAGGAAAGTAATTCCATTGAATACAAACAATACTTACAAGACTTGTAAATGTTATGTGACATGACTGTACTGTGTCCTGTTTGTGTAACTACTGTAGTCAGTAACATAAGATGATAAAAATATCAAAGTCTGTGTTTTTATTATTATAATTGTAACAAATATACAAATAGTAACAAAAGAGACTACATGTATATACTTTAATATAGTAATATTACATGCATTCTTTTCATGTCAAATTTTAGAAAAAATGGTTTCTTTCAATACTGAAAGTAGAACACACAGGAATGAAAAAATGGGATTAATTTTAAAAAGACCAAATTCAGGAATTTTTGTTTGTTATACACGCGTTACATGGTGATTATAATAGAATTTTAGGCAGGTATGAGGAAATTCACTAACATCATGTTCGTGCGAGTCAAAGAATAAAAGCTACTTGACATTGGTGATATATTAAAAAACTATTGTTAATTGATTTATTGGGAGATCAATATACTTTTTGTTGAATTGCTTTAAAACCATTCATAAAAAAACATTGCACCTCATGTTCAAACTGCAGATCAAAGTTCTGTTGTTACCAATGATGCTTTCAATCTATCTTTAACATATGCTTAATGAGGGTCCATCTGATCGTAAGGGCACGAATTGCAGCTTTCGCTGTCGAGTACATGTCACCCTGACATGTCACCAGTCATGCCCTTAAAGAGTTAATTTTGAAGCACAAAGTGGTGTAAATTTACTTTTCCTCAATGCAATACTAATGATGCTGTTGTTGTTGTTTTAGGTTTTATTTATACTGGGCGCCAGTTTCCCATATGTCCCAGACTAGTCGGCCTCTATTACGATTGCTGGTAACGTAGAGCCTGCAACGGAGGACTTATTCGCCTGCAACGTCGTCGATGTCGTAGAGCCGCGACGGAGGTCTTTTCATGCTGTCGTTCGTCGTAGACCTTCTCTAGGACTCAATTCCTCGCTTCTTGAACAAAGGTTGACAAAAGAGGAAAGGCACCTCTTCCGGGAGCAGCAGCTCTCTTTAGGGCCACACCCTTCGTCGTTGGTTAGGTCACACCAGCTAAATGACCTAAATAGGTCACCCATCTGGTGTTACCTATGCCTTCCGAGCGACGTGCACGCCACGAAGGGAAGTCGGAAGACTATAACGTTATATACTAAAGTTATAATTATTTCAAAACAACCAATATATCAACATGTTATTATTAAACATTTAGTTTCATAAATATAAATTAAGAATAATTATCAAAAGCAAAATTATTACAGTCTTATGCCTGAAATCTTCTTTATATTGACAAATTCAATCACTAATAGTATACTTGATATGCTGTGTGTATATGTAATTCAAAATGTAACAAATTATAATTTCATGTACTACTAAAAAAGGGAAATAACAAATTTATAAGTGTCAAAAATCAGAACATTTATTTATATACAGCTATTTATAGCTTTCGAATTCATGTACAGCAGAACTGCTTTCCGGTTCTCATTCATTAATATGACATGCTGCGAATCACTGAAGGGGAAACCAATATAATAAAAATCGGAAGGAGTTCTTGAATCCGAATTTATTTTTAGCTGTAAATCGAAGGGATTAATTGATAAAATCCGGGCCCATGGGCAAAAAAGATAGTTAACACAAATAGCTCCGTGCCTGTGCGCGGATCAATAATGTGCTCAATACAAACATGAATTGTTGAAAAATGATTGGGTAATGCTTTGTTTTTCAGTATTCTAGCTCTACTAAAAACCCCAAATGAACGATGATTCAAAATTGAAATCTGACCTTTTGCATGTTTTGATTTTGCAGTCATTCTTCGCTTAAGAAGTCATTTCAATTTTGCAACATA